TAGATAGAAGTGTTTTGTGTGTTCAACCGCACGAAGACTGACGTCTTTTCATTGGTCAGCCGGTTAGCGCGGTCGATGCTAATAATAAAAACACACACAACACTGTGTTCAACCGCACGAAGACTGACGTCTTTTCATTGGTCAGCCGGTTAGCGCGGTCGGCACAACATTGTATCTGTGAGGCACTGCTGCTGTGAGAAGCTGCGTCATTTGATACTGATGCTGCTGCTGCTGCTGCCGCTGTTGGGTGCTGAAAGCTGTACAATTATAGCACGTACACCCGTAGACTACAACATGCAAACACGACAAGTAACAGAGGAGCGTGCACACACGAGTAGCGAAGAAACAAGCAAAAGGCCACTGCGACGATGTACACACACCCACACACAGACGGCTGTAGCGGACAACCCAACTCACCGAACAACAGCGACCTGATCCCGGCAGAGGCACACTCTGTGGCATACGTGGTGTTGTCGTCGATAATCATCTCGGCGCCGATCATCCTGCAGAGGTCGGGCTTCGACCGCACCGCTCCCTCCGTCGAGAAATGGTTGCCGAACCGGAGCCCGGCGAATATTCCGGGGTAATGGGCGTCGATCCACCTTTTCGTGTGAGCCTGCAGCGAGTCCTGTCGGGAGGTGACCAGGTAGAAATTGAGGCTCCGCGAGTGCTTCCGGAGGACCTCTGCGGCGCCGGCCAGGGGGGGTATCCCGTCCAGGAAGTAGGGAGACTTGAAGAACTCGACCATCTTGGCGTCCGCCTCCGCCCTGGTGCCTCCCCAGACCTCGTGGAAGTAGTAGCTGTTGAAGCTCTCCGGGGTGAGGGAGGTGCCGTGCTTGTCGTTGTGGAAGGTGCACAGCTGGAGGACGAACATGCCCAGCACCTCGTCGAGGTCGACAGCGACGACCGGTTTGTTGCGGCTGCTGCTGCTGCTGCTGCTGCTGCTGCTGCTGCTGCTGCTGCTGCTGCTGCTGCTGCCGCCCCCCCCTTCCGGAGGGAAGTTGCTTGCTGATTGTTGAGTCATGTTCCTTTGTGTGCTACTGCTGCTGCTGCTGCTGCTGCTGCTGCTGCCGTTCAATTCGCTGCCGACCTCTCTCTCTCTCTGTCGCTGTCGGCTGTGGCTCGATTCCTTGAGAGACAACCAACCCGTGGTTATTGTTAGGTCAGCAGAGGAACCTCAGCAAACATGCATGGCGGCTGTCTCTGTTTTTCCTCTCCGGATTCCACTCCCCGTGCGGGTTTCGGTGCCGGCCTTTCCTGGTACGGCACGCGCTGTGGCCTGCGGATGCGGGGTACAACAGCAATCCTCCACAAGAACACCACCTGATGAACAGATGCGTGACCAGGGCGGTCTCTCATTTGCTGGATTCCATGAGCGGCCAGAAGTCGAAATTCTAAAAAACTTCACTTTTAACACCAAATCTCCGCAGATAGTGCTGTGTTCCAAGTTCAGTGAGTCCAAACGTGCGTCGGATAACGGCGCCAACCGTTATCATCTCTTACATTTAAGTAATAAGCGTGGTGCGTGGACAGCGGGCGGAAAAATTAAGCGGTGAGCATGTCACAAGACCCGTTCATCCTTGGTGACACACGGCTTACTGCTGCTGCTGAGGCTGAGAGGTGTGATACTTGGTGTGTGGCAACAAGCTCTTCGGGTTTCGGGAACAGGTTTTCCTAGAAAAAAAAAACAAATAGTAAAATGATGCAAATCAAACTCTTTGTCTGTGGTGTGTTCCGCGGCCCCGCGGAATCGTTGAACCGGGCAATAGGATCACAATGGGGGGGGGGAGCGCGCTCTGTGGGTTGGTCAGCGTCGGTCGAGCAATGAAGCACAAGCACCAGGAGAACAGCGCACGGCGACAGCTGTCGACTGGGGTGAATCAAGTAAAGCCTAGCCCACGTATACCGATCGATCATCATGTCCCAGTCCCGCGTGAACCTGGCGATGGCCAAGCGGGAGCTGGCGGAGCGCCGAGACGAGGCCAACCTGTGTATGGTGGAGCTGAAGCACGCGCAGGAGGTGCTGGCCGCTGGGGGCACAGGGCCCAAGGTTCTGTCGGTGAGAGGACGGGAGAGAGACAGAGAGCACTGCGAGAAGTGTGATTGCTTTTCACCGCATCCTTGATCGGCTGCTTGATGAGCCGTTGCATCGCGCGCCTAGTTTACGGTACGGCCTCAATAAGAACTTGCAGTGAATAAAACTCGTTTCTACCTCCCGAACTCCGCGCTGTGCGTACGGTCGTGTTCGTCCACACGCCGGGGAGGCAAGACACCTATAGACATCTCCAGCACATAGCTTGTGTTGTTGCGCTGCCAGGGCACGGCCCGGTTGTGGCAGCCGTTCTGCTCGCCAATCTTGCCCTGCAACGCGCTTGATCGCTCCCGAACACGCCTTGGAAAACTCATCTACACCAGCCGTCCGTGAGAGCTCCCACGGCCTCCGGAGTGGTACAGCAGTGAAGTACATGCGTACGATCACGATTACCACATGCATCGTCGAAATATGCCACACCTACATAAAACATGTATGCGTAAGTCCTAAGTCGCCCCGTGCTTATTCACTGTTGTGCAGCACACATACGGGTTGACTTTCAAACTCGAACGTGTTCGGTGAGTGCCCTTTGTTGTGTCTGGCTTCTTTTTTTTTTTTGTCACAAACGGGTAAATTCCTTGAATCCCTGATTCCGCCGCGTTTCTTGTCCGACGCTCTGGCACTCGAATTCCGTGTGGGGAAAACGACAACAAGGTTACGGTGCAAGAGGTATTCGGCCCGATCACGGTGGACAGGGTAGCAGTTCGTCCAGACGCTTCACCAGCTCAGGAAAAGGTATGGGAGATACTTTTTGTACCTCGGCAATTGGCTGGCTGGCACGCGGGGTCTCAAGTCGGGGAGGACCACTGGCGGATTTTGACAAAACCTGCTCGACTTGTTTCACCCAGCGTTTCTCGGGGGATTGGTGGTACAGGGGTTGGATTGGATTAGACTGTGGGATGCTTGATTGGGAGTTGACAGGCTTACTTGCACTACAACACGAGCCAACCATATGAATGTATTCTCATGGTGAGGTAGACGTTGTTGCACATTTAGAGGGTACCTCAACGCACCCGCCTTCATTTGTTGGTGTTGCTTGTTGCGAGGGTGCACGTTCGCAAAGGAAGACATCATGTGCTCGATTGGACTCGACAAATATTTGGAGTCACTGCTGTTCTCAATTGTGGTTTTATCATCTGGTTGGTGCACCAGTGGACCTCTGGCTCTCCTTTCCTGATATTCGTGTTTTGCATCGCCTCTTGTTCTCTTGTCTGCACCCCCTTCCTTTCCCCTCAACGCCATCGCCTCCACTCCGCCGCCTCCCCTTCGGGCAGGTCGTGGCGCAAGGCATCCCGTGCGCGTTTCCCCTCGATGCCGCAGTAGAAAGCTTTGACCTGGTTCTCATGGCGGAGAACGACAGCGGCGCCGGAGCGACGAAATCGGCCGCCGTTGACCAGGCGTCAGCATCAAAAGGGGACTCGTCTCAAATAGCGGAGGCGGCGGCGGCGGCGGCAGCGGGGGATGGCCACGAAATCGACGAAGTGGTAATCAGCGCGGAGGATGCGGCCGAAGCCATCGAGGCGGAAGCGGCGGCGGCAGCAACGGCAGCTGTACCAGACGCCGCTGAACCCGGAGAAGCCGGAGTAGACGAGGTGGCCGCCGCCACCGCCGCCGCCGCTGCAGCTGGCGCTGTTTCTGAGCAGGGGAACGATGCCGAAAAGGAGTTCTACGATGCCTCGGGGGCGGCCGCTCCCGTTGAAGACGCTGCTGAGGCACCAGTCGCGCGGGAAACGGGGGCAGTTGGAGCGGAGGCCGGCCAGGAAGAAGCCGCGGAGTCCGAAGCAGCAGGTGAGGTGGACGAGGCGAAGGAAGCAACGGATGATGCCTCGCCGGTGGCGTCGGGGACGACCGGCGAGGAGAGTAACGCTAACGTCGTTGACGCCGCCGCCGCCCCAGCGAATGTAGCAGGAGAAGCAGCAGGGGAGGAGGTGGCGGCGGCGGCGGTAGAGACACCGGCGGCGGAAGGCGATGTACCCGCTGCTGCAGAGGTGGCTGTGACCCCTGTGGACGGCGGCGACGGGGACTCCGCCGCGGCGGGACTTTCGCTTGATACCGCAGCGGCAGAGGCGGAAGCGGCGGCGGCAGCGGTAGAGGCGGCGGTGGCGGCGGTGGGGCCCGTTGCTGGAGAAGGCTCGGAAACTGCTCCGGCGGCGACGGTTGCCGAAGCCGCGGGTGAAGCAGACACCGGTGCTGCGAGGGCGAGCCTTAACGGGGGTCTGGGGGACGCCTCGCCCGCGGCGGCGGCGGCCCTGGGGTGCAGCACGGGTACAACGGAGGTGGTGGTGCCCTCCTCCGAGCTGGACTTCAAGCTCAGCCAGGGGCAGTGGCGGTATCTGGAGGCGGACTCGACACCCGTGCACGGCGACGGCGCCGTCGAGGTCACCAAGGGCATCAGGTTCTCGACGTCCCTCAAGGCCGTGGACAGCCGGAAAGATGACGTGCGTGCCTCTGTCTGCCGTGTTCTTTTTATTGTTGTTGTTGGCATCGACTGGACTAACCGGCTTGACCAATGGAAATCCGCCAGTCTCAGTGCGGTTGAGCACAGGAAATGCTTGTGGAGGCCATGATCTGGGACCCTTTGAGGGGGCGTCATGAGGGAGGCTACGCTACCGTCTGGATTAATGAGACAGATACGGTGTGGCAGCAAAGAAAAATTGCGTGCGTGTGTGTGCTCATCACGTGTGCTGATGTTGATGTCCTGTGCAGAGCTGTGTTTCTCGTCTGCCACGTTCGTTGGTGAGGAGAGCGTCAGCCTTCGGCGGGGCCAAAACGATAGAGGAAAAGAAACGCGATGCATGTTCTTTTCACGTGTGAAGCATTTGTGCGTGAACGCGCTCGTGGCAAAACGGGGTGGTTTTCCGTGTAGAGATTCGGGCAAAGTGTTTTTCTTTGTGCCGCGGTGAAATTGAAACTATTCTTCGATAAAAACAAATGACGCGGCCTATCGAGCTTACCAGCAACTGCTTACTGCGGTCTTGCTTATTTACCCGCCGTCCCACCGCACCCCCCACTCCCCTGATTGGGGCTACCTTCTCTTCTCTTCCACAGGACCGCATCGTGGAGCTGTCGGAGAAGCTGAGCGATGCAGAGCGGCGCGTCCGGGCTGCTGAGGCTATCGTGAGCAGCCGGACTCCTCCCCCCCCCCCCCC